GGCTCCTGCACCGCTGAGGTGTACGAGCCGTCGGAAGGCTGGTGGCAGGGCAGCGAGAGCCCAGAGGGGACCAGAGCTGCGCCTCGGTAGGTGTGTGCGCCCGTGGCAGGGCCCAGGCAGTTCAGATTCAAGCATTCAGTAGCGAGGAGAGCGGTGATGCTGTTCGTATGGCTTTGAAGGAGCCCGGGCACGGGCTCCATTGAAAGCCACGACTGACCGGTACCTCTCACTTCCATCCTCCTCGGCATGTTGTTTTGCATCTTGGTGCAGACGCAGCCTTGTACAAGCACTGCGTTCGGGTCCCCCATTTATCCTGATCGCCGTTCATGAAAATACACTTGCTACTGCTCAGTCCTTTCTAGCCTGGACAAAAGCGTGGCTCTCCAGAGCTCCTCGGGTCTGACAGACCCCACTGAGGTCACTAAACCCGATCTCGCTGGACTTCGCATCTTACTTTTCTCACGGTTTATGTAAGCTGAGCACAAACAAACAGACCAACGTGTATATGCATGTGCTTGGGATTAGCAAAGCCAGCCTCCAGGTAGTTCTGTGGATTGTTTTTGTACAAGGAGGGCGAGCTCCTTAAGATTTTTACAATATCTGACAGCTAAGTGGAAGCAAATGCCAAAAAAAATCAATAGGTGAGGGAGTGGTTCCTTGTGAGCTGCTGAGAACACAGCATAGTTAAAGCATGGCTCTTTGCCTTCCTGCCTTGCAAAACCAGTCCACTGCTTTCTGAGCCCCCACATGCACGCTCTTTCCGGATCACAGGCTCTTTGTGCGTGACATCTCTCAGATACAGCCTTCACACCTAACTGCACAGCTAAGACTTCTTTGGGAACTCATCATCATGCATCTGGCTTTCCCTGGCCCTGACGGACGTAGTCCTGCCCCATCATGTCTGCACCAGCATTTCCCCAGCTGCCCCTTTCTCCATGGCATTCCAGGGCTTGCATCCGTCCCCCGCCACCCTCTTCTCCCTCACCTTAACCACAGGCATCCAAGCCTGTGCAGGCAGCTCATTGTCACTTCCAAGCCCCTCAACAGCCATGGCCGCACGTCTGGGAGTCAGCTTTTACCTTTGGTCAGCCCACAGTGACGGTCTTCATCGGTATCTTGCTGCACCCTCAAGCAAGCACCTCCTGCCTTTCCCAGGCGGTCCCCGTGCCATAAGACATTCTCCAAAGCAACTTAGCTGTCTTCCTTCCTTTGGATCTTTACTTGAGAAAGTTCTTTTTTTTTCACATGTACCTACAAACTTGGAAAGAGTTATGCCGCAGAGATACAGAGACCCCAGGTCGTTCAATACTATCTACTTACTCGTACTGCCTCTCTGCCTGGGCCCAACTCTTGCTTCCTACCATATATATAGATTGTAAAATCTTTGGCGAGGAGATAAACATTGTGCTCCAATGTTTAAATCACATCCATTCATAGCCTCTGTGGCAGAACAGGTTGAAAGCACAACACAGAAATACAATGTTTATCTTTGGCAAACATTTTTTTCTTATGTTCCTCCTGCATATTTGGGTGACAGTTCAGATCACTGCTCTTGAGTCTTTCTTGCAGCTCAGAAACGTGGTTGACATGTGACACAGCGTGTTGCAATAGCTCATGTCAGCTGCAGAAGGAGTTCAGCAGGTCACAGGGACTAAGTCAACACTGCCAGGAGTCTCATGACTGATGTGGTTCAGCAAAGTAAGTGCTGCACCGCATTTTGTTGTTGCCAGCCAGGTGCAGGAGCATTTGTGCTTACATTAATCACGGTTCAGTTACCTGTTCTTAAAAACAGAGGTTTAATTCACTGCCTGGCCCTTCAGAATCCAAAAACTCTCCCAATCTTCTTAGATTTGATTGGACTGCAGGGTCCTCAGTGAAGATCCAGCTTGAACTAGGCTCTTGTCTTCAACATGGACAGATGGCCAGGCTTTTTACGGAAGTGCGCGGAAGGAAAGCAAGAACCAGTGGTCATAAACTGAGCCAGAGGAGGTTCTGACTCAATATATAAAGAGAGGAGAAAAAAAAACCCCTATGAGAATAATAAAGCATTGGGGCAGGTTGCCCAGAGAAGAGGTGGTCCTTGGAGAGTTTTCAAGACTCAGCTGAATAAAACCCTGAGCAACCCACCTGAACTCGGTGTTGTTCCCACTTTGGAGACCTCTAGTGGTCCCTTCCAACCCGAGCGATGCTATAATTTAAAACATTTGGGGTGGTTGGCTAAGAAAGAGACTGGAGGAAGAAAGGATCATCTTCAAGCATCTAAAGGAGAAAAACAATATTCCACCATTCTAGAATAGAAATGGGCTTAAACTGCAGTAAGAAAGACTTAGGTTAAACGAGAGGATGATCTTTCTAATGGTAAGGATAGTGAAGTCCAGGCATGGGCTGGTTGGGGACGGGAAGAGACCTGCAACCGCTGAGGCCTTTAAGACCTCCTTGGAAAAACTATTAGGAAGGCCCTAAGTATGTTTGACTGCCCTTTGTGCAGGGAAGGGACTAGCTGCTTCATGGAGTCTGTTAAGCTCTATTTTTCACCAGATCTGATGTATACCACAAATACTTTCATATTCAGATATGTAAATAATGGGTCTTATTTGAGTTATTCTACATCAAAGCTTTCTCATTATACTCATAGGAAATCTCCAGATAAAAGCTTTCTTTTTCTTAGCAATGTGTAAATCATTTCCAACATGAATTAACATAATGGGGGGGGGGAATGATTGGCAGTCTTCACTTACTTTTAAAAATTATCTAAGTAAGTGGAGTTCTCTGCCTTCTATTAATCTTCCCTAAATTGAGTTTTGGAGAAGATAAAACCATGGCAAAGTCTTTATATGTGAATGTCCTTGGTTTTGTTTGCATAAGCAGCCCTATTCTGCTAAGCCTGTGTAGTCTACCAAACACTGCCTTCACAAACAAAGCAATTCTTCTTCTCAAGGCTGAACAGCAGTGCCTGAATTTTAAATGGACTAAGTAAAACAGACCATGAAGTTTTGAACTGTTGGATGGTTTTGTGGCGAGGTATTGTCCCTGCTGACTACCCAAGGCCTTTCAAATGTTAAACCTTTTCTCCCCCAAATCCTCATTCATCTAAAGGGAAACCAAACGAAAATTCTGTCACTTATGGAGCTACCTTTACGCCTGAGATAACTTCACCGATATCTTGTCAATAGGAAAGTACTTGGGTGGCAACATCCAAGCGCAGTGGTAATGACAGCTCTGCTAGAAGATCAGATTTATCTACTGAGAGTTGTGAGTCCCATTCAGGATTTCGGAGGTTGGAGCTGGAGTCTGCATCCTTCAACAGAAAATCATACACACTTGGTACATGGCTAGAAAAGTTATTTCTATGGATAGGCTTGAGGTCTAAGTTCATGGTCCAGGTTGTGCTGGAGACTCCAGCACAACCTGGATGATGAATTTAGATCTTAAGTTTATCCGTAAAAACCCAAACTTTTCTTATTAATATACATTTCTTGTGTGGAGCCACAATTCATCCTCAGCTCAAGCCTTGACTGTGGTCTCTGTTGATAGCAGAGCAAGAGAACCAGAATATAAGTAATTTTATAAATAATGTGAACGTATGATATGACTGCATGCCTGCCTTTCAAAAAAGCAGAACTCTTACGGTAAAGGTTCACTCCTAAAATATTTCCCTAAATATTTTAAAGGGCCAAAACCAGTCATTCCTTTAAAAAAAACCAAAAAAACCAACAAAAAACCCCCAACCAAAAAAAACCCCAAACCAAAAAAAAACCTCCCACCAAACAAAAAAGCATTACGGCAGCTCAGGATATAGCATATAGTCAACACTGAGCAAAGTGAAACCTGATCTCAGTAGGATTTCTTTATCATTAAAGATTAAGATGAAGCCTTATTCTTTTATTACTTATTGAGCAATTCAGCCACGTGCAAACCTGTTACATCTCCTTGGTTGAGCCAAGGAGAGCCAGTTACAACGTGGTTTCCCTTTGAACCATTGACAGCGCAGACCTACCTGGACTTTGTCTTGGATATACTCGAGACCTTTATCAGTTCCAGAAAACATATCACAGCTAAATCCTGTTCGTGCTCCTCATTGCAGGTGTGTTACAAGTGGGTCAGAGGACAAGGTCGTTGCAACTGGAGCTCTTCTTTCAGTTGTGTTTGTAAAATGGCCAGTGCTTGAAAGATTAAAGTAGCATTAAGTGGAAAGAGGGAACAGAGGAATAAAAATAATCACCCCTCTTCCCCATATAATTTGAAGAGCATTAAGCAATACTTCCAATATTTTCTGTGGGGTTTTTAATTCTGTCTTGCCAAGAAAATAACTGAATGTTTGCCAGGCTGCAGTGGTGATGGGGAAACAAAATTATTTAATTATTTAATCTGAACTGAGATTAAAAAATTCTCAGCATGACTGAAGAAGAATAAACTGGATGGTTAAAATATCCTCAGGTTGCAACTATTACAGATCCTGTTGCAGTGATAATTAGAACAATAAATAAAGAGAAACCATCAGGTTGATGATTTTTTTTTTAAAATAAAAGAACAATTTCTGAGGTTTTAGGTCTTACATAAAATCCTTATTGCAACTGTTTGGTTATTGGTAGGAAAGTGGGATGCATCTATTTTAGATGAGATGCACAAAGACTGTCACAGCAAGATTGTTCAGCATTGCTTTACCACCTGGATTATTTTACATTTGTTGGTCTTCAGAAAAAAAAGAATTATCTGAGGAGTAAGAAAGATTTTAATCCCAGATAGTGTATTTTTAGTGCTGTTCACGGTACATCATATTTCCATTCTATAATCTTTGGTATGACTTCAGATCCCTTATTACAGTTGTGTTTCCTCTGGTTCTACTTTCTGTGTTTTTAAACTGAGGGCTTTTTGGTGGACGGTAGTGCATAAAGCTTTCTGATAAATGTAGCAAGCACCTGAACAGCTTTATAGCATGGGCTTTTTATGAGTTACTATGTTTAAAGTAATTTGTGTTTCCAATTCACAATAAAACTATTTGGTTCCTATTAGTTATTTCCATTTTTTTTCTTTTCAAAGGGGATCAGCCATAGCAAGAATCATTGGCAAAAATGTCCAGAAGTCCAACAGATTTGATCCTACTGTCAAGATGTGGGTATTTGAAGAGATCATCAATGGAAGAAAACTCTCAGAAATAATCAACCAGGAACACGAAAATGTTAAATACCTGCCTGGATACAAGATACCTAAAAATGTGGTAAGTTGAAAAAAACCCCAAACAAATCATTTAAATATTTTTATTTTTTATAAAGGGAGGCAACATCTGGCAAAATTAAAACTAGGCAGTAATTCAGTGCTTGATTCTTGTTTGCCACCTAGCTCACTCCAATATTGACATATAACTCAGTGGAATATAACTCACTTCTGTGACTTCTGCTTGTCTCATATGTCACATGCAACTTCAAACGCCCAACTGTGTCGGGTGCTGGTAACGCACCAGCCGCCTCTCTGACAGAAATCAGCGTAACTCTAGAAATGGCAGGCAGAGAGCTGTCTACACAGAGCCGAGGCATTTCAAGCCCACAGCATCTTCTGGAATAAAAGGGAAAGCTACTGCTTTCCCTTCTTCTAAAAAAGAAATCAACAGCACAGCTAACAGCTGTGGCTTACAAGGAGATGAATAATGAGCTATCTGCTCATGGGTGATTTCAGGATACCAACCTACTGCTATAATTAATAATGCTGTAAATTCCACAAAAAACATAAGGTGTTTACTTTTCATGAACATTTAAAATACCGAGTTATATATATCTCTACTTAATTTAATCAGCTTAGATAATTTACTGCTACTGAAGCAAGCAAGGTGAGGGCTTTTGGCTGTTCAAGATTTTGGCAAATGCCACTGTTTTGTGCATTAAAGAAAGTAGCGCCACGTTTCTGGAACAGTTGCAGTTGTAAAAGGAAGTTAAGACGCTGCACGTGGTGGGTCTCCTTGCTTGGAGAGTGGTTATATTTAGTACTCCATTTAGTGCTGTGATTGCATATTTGGACTCCTGCGGTTTGAACTTGGCACACAGTTCTCCTGGGCTACAATTGACATGTCACTGTTATTTTTACAACCCTCTAGCAGATCAACAGGCTTGTCATCATTACTTGAGATCAGCTTCATCCTGTCTATAGCAAAGTCTGAGGCTTTACCAGCAGAAAGCAGCTGGTTGCAGTAAGGCTTGGAGGGACCCTCACACCTTCATCTCCGACTGAGAAAAAAAAAAAAACTAATTTTTTCCCTTGCATTGCTCTGTGAGATTTTGGAGACAGAAGCACAGCCTGTACAGCGCTGCCAGCCTCTGCCCTGCTCCTGCTTTGCCGTTTTCCTAGAGAAGCAGCCTTGCTGGCAGCAGTTTGGGCTCTCCCACTGGGAATCCCACTTGCCCTAAGGCGGTGTGCTCCAAGGCTGCATCTGAGGGCAATGTTTGCTCTGATTGTAAACTGCAGGCTCAAATTCACCTGCCATTGCCTCTGTAGCTTGGCTTGAACTGTTGTTCTGAGTAACATTAGCATTTGGAGTAAGGTACAGCTTGCTAGTTATTAAGCACGTTGGGTAAATTTTTCTAACTGTTGGTTAAGTTACTCTATATTTAAAACAAACAACCCATCCAACCCCAAATATGATAATAAACTCTGCCTTTTGATACAGTTTATTCCTGAGTAGCTCTCAGCTGGTGACCTATGGAAACTAAAGACTGTCAGAATAGGCTCTGTCTCACCGTCCTGCTTCGTTCCTGTGCTCCCTGGTGCCACCACTCATTCCAGCAGAACCATATGGGGTTGCTCAGCATCTTCAGGAAGCACCTGAAGAAGCTGAACCAGCAAAGGGGCTTCCCAGGATGGTGCAATTTTAGAAAGTATAGCGTCTTCCCCAAATTACCCACACCAGGCTGAGATAGAAGGCAAATTAAAAGCAAAATTATAAAAAATCCAAACCTAAAATAGTTGGGCTGCTTTGGATATTTCAGAAGAGCTGCAGTTGCTGCAGCTACGCCACACTGCCAGTTAAAATTAAGGACATTTGCAATGTGTCTTCAATGGCTTTAGCACGTTGGTACCTTGCAAGGTGTGAGGATTCCTACCTGGGGCTCATTTTGGTTGTCACTCTTGTCCCAGGTAGCTGTACCAGATGTGGTCGAAGCAACAAACGGGGCAGATATTTTAGTGTTTGTTCTGCCACATCAATTTGTTGGACGAATCTGCGAGCAGATTGCAGGCCAGATAAAATCCGGGACATTTGGGATTTCCCTGATCAAGGTAAGTTGTCATCTCCACAAGACTCCATCTGCACAGAGTAAAAAAATAGCTTCAACTTAAGGGTAGAAGCTCCAGCCCTCAGCTGCATGCTCTGCGTAAACACGAGCATTTCTTTCTGCAAGAGTTAAAACTTACCCAGTCTCTGCCAGCCCTTCTGCTGCTCACGTGGCCACGGAGAGGAAAGGATGGGGCAACCCAGCCAGGCTGAGAGTATCCATCTTTGCCAGCCATCCTTAGCCTGGATCAGTTCCCACTTGGACCAGTATGGAGGTGAAAATGGGCAGAGGGAGGGCTGTATAAGCTGTTGCTGCTGCCAGAAAAAATACTCATCAGACTGCAGCCTCAATTAACTCTTAACTGGAAATAGTGCTGGGTCAAAGTGCCTCTTCCAAGTACATGCTAAAGCTGTTCTTGGCAGCATTAAAATGGCACAATAACACTAATTATTTTGCAGAACTGAAGCAATTTTAATCTCGCATGAACTGAGGAATCTCTTTTTAAGGTTAGAGGTACCGGATTATCATGATCTTAAAAGGAATTAATATTTTAAGAGAATCTCAAACTAAAAGCCAGAGGCAAGGCGTAGGAATATAGTCTACCACTTCTTCTTTTGATTGCATTACAGGAAATATCCAATTTAAAATTGTAATGAAAGAAATGTAATTCAAGTTTTCAGACTGCAATACCAGCTCTTCCCCCCCACTTTTCTTCCCCCTATAGAAATTATCTCACAAGCAGCAGTAAACAGAGGAGAGGAGGGTGGGAGAGGAAGGAAATTCCTGCAAATTTACTTCTTTCTTTAGTTTAAAAAAAACAACCCAAGACAGATCAGAGATCAGTATACTCCTTAATACCAATGAAGCACTCAGATTAATACTTAGATCTTGAAAAAAAGCCACTGCTTGTAGGCTTAATTTAAAAGTCTGGTTGGGTACTACAGGAATTTAACACAAAGGAAAAATACAGCATCAAAGAAAGCCTCAGGACAGCAGCACTGGATGCGAGGCCTCTTGCAGGGTTACCTTGACTGTCGCTACCTTCCCTCTGAACTTGCCTTGAATTTGCAGTTATCAGAGTACAAACCCAGAGCATTTGTATTAATGGCTAATGCTAGTGAATATAAGACCCAAATCTTTCCAATTAAAACCAGAGCTGCAGGCAATAGGACAGCTTCTGCTTTACCGCTGCTCTACTACTGTCATTTTCCTCTTCTATTAACTTGGCTTTGACTATCATCTTTTATTCAGGGGATCGATGAGGGTCCTGACGGCCTGAAGCTCATATCTGACCTCATTCGAGAGAAACTGAAAATAGAAATCAGTGTGCTTATGGGGGCCAACATAGCCAAAGAAGTGGCTGATGAGAAGTTCTGTGAAACCACCATTGGTAACTATTGCAAAGAGCAAATTAGAGCCTCTAGCTGTGGTTTAACTTCGCTGGTGGCTGGGCAACAAGATAACCTCTGGAGGAAGCTGGGGGATGCGAGGGGTCTGAGGTGATTCACGAGTGGTGCGGTGGGTGCGATGCCCGCTGAGCTCATTCAGGGAGGCAGCGTGATTTCCAGGGAGGCTGGTGCTGGCAGGATCAGATCCAAACTGACACCGGGTTTCAATGCTGAGAGCTAATTTCATCCATTAAAAAATTACAGCTTAATCCTGTTCCGGCAGGGGCTGGCAAGAACCACCTTTCATGTCTGTACAACTCAATGCTGAGTACATTGGCGGTTGTTACGCTATACTGTCTAGTTAGAGAAATGTAATCAGAAGCTCATATGTGCTCATGCTCCCTGAGGTGTATTTCTCCATCTTCAAATTTCTTTGTCTGGAGAAAAAAAACAAAACAAAACAAACCACAACAAACCAAACCCAAAACAACAACAACAACAACAACAACAAACCCCAGTAACGTCGTGTTCCTCCCTGTCACTCAGACTGCTTGCCAAGACGTAGCCTCAGATCCTCCCAGAACTCAGTGTGACCTGACTTGGAAAGTTCATCCAGTAGTTTTGAAAACCTGTTGATTTTTAAAGTCAGCAGAAATTCAAGTTACATAGCTAGGGAAGACAGAAAAATAAATTATTGTCGCACTACTGTTCCTTTGCCTTGCAAATGTTACAGGAGCAGTGAAAATTATACTAGCTGGGCATTTGTTGCTGGCAGAGCAACTAGGCACAAATAGGACTAGACACGATTAGGAGAGTTGAGGAATATTCATTTACTTGGGGGGTGTTTAACTTTTGCTGGCCCAGTTTTAAGCCATGCTGTGATGATGACTCTGCAGAGAGATTTGCCCCTTGCTTTTCTTGTCATGGAAAGCGCCACAGCCCAGAAACAGCCACCTCAAAGAGACTGGGTATCCCCCAACATCAATTATTGCAAAGGACGAGAAGCAAACCCAAAGTTTCTCATGAGATGGGACAGAAACCCCACAGCTACCAGAGTGCCATTGCCCAGGCTCTTTAATACTCAAAACCACCGAGTGCCCAGAAACCCTCCAGGAGCAGCAGCTGGAAAACTCTACAGCTCCTCACCGCTGAGCTCTCCCTGAAGGAAACCAAGCTGCCTTGTATGAAAATAAAGTGAAACTCTATTCAAAAGTCTTTGCCCAGCTGGCCAAGGACTCTCTGGATAAAGGCAAACCTCATCCCCTTTACCGCTGAGGGCTCTCTACTCTGCCTCTCAATAGCCAGGGCCAGCACTGTAATGACCTCGGTAGAATTGATAACAAAAATGTTCCAGCAGTGCGAACGTTCAACTTCATCATCTGTGGATCTCCCTGTAATTGGGAACTAATTGGGCATTAATCATTTGTGCCCCATAATAATGCTTAGCAATTACACCAGTTTACATTTTCAAAGCAGCAATTATACCGTTGTGCTGTACAAAGCAATTTGTCAATATTTTCTTTTGCAGGGTTTGTGGTTATACAAGCTTTCTCAGGCAGAAAGCTGTGTTAGGGACTATCTACTTTTAAGCTCTTTAAAGTGTTAAGCGATGCTTGGTGAATGCCCTGGTACTAGCATACATTTAACACTGGCTGTCACACAAACCTCTTGTTGAGCAACACCCAGTTAGGTTTTGTGGTCCCAGTAAAGTGGTCCCTGGGAACTTATTTCAGGTTTCAGTTAATTGTGTGTACTCTGAAACATTGTGAAAATGCTCTAACTTCCATCCTTCCTTCCCACAGGGTGCAAAAATGAAAAACAAGGGGAGATCTTTAAAGAATTAATGCAGACCCCCAATTTCAGGATTACTGTGGTGCTTGACTCTGATACAGTGGAGATCTGTGGAGCCTTAAAAGTGAGTGGTTTCAAACCAAAATGTTTTTATTAGGGACAAATTCTACCCTCACCTGAGTCTTCTGTAAGCCACAGGATCTAATACAAGTCCTGCCACCATATGATGAGTGACCACAGACAAGATGTTCGTGTGCCAATTTCCCAATCTGTTGAAAAGGGAAAACGTACTTAAAAATATAACTGCTGGCAAAGCATTTCAAAATAGTTGTATTTTTATCTTTATTTAACCAGAGGCACCTCTGCTTCTGAGGGCAGAATTTAGTCCGCTGTATTTTCTTGTCTGTGTATTGTAAGCACATGGAACAAAGATTCTTACTACATACAGGGGCTCCCACTAATAACTTATTTTCACAGTTCAGGTAGTAACCTGCTAGAAAGTTTGCATCAGAAGCAATACTCTGTGTTGGCAGCACGTCTGTGCTGGCGTTCAGCAATGCCCACATCAAGATCCCAGGCCAGATCAGAGCAATAACAAAGTCACCAAGTTCCCAGTGAGGGGGCACTTGAGTGAGATTTGGAGCTTGCTTTTAAATGTGCTAAAGGCGACTGCAGCCTGTGATCCTTTGTACTTTTTTATACGTTCAATCATTTGTGCTTCAATAATTCACCTTTCCTTGGGGGAGGGGGGATTACTGGCTAGGAAAGAATCTGTCCTGTTTAACCTTACATACAAAAAGAAAAGTTTCTTTACGTACAAAACCAAGTACCCCTAGATTTTGCTTTTGGCCACAGACCAGAACTGGGAGGAGGCACAGAGGGGAGAGAGGTTGTTTCTGCTTTGTGGGAAATCTTTGCTCTCTTGAAATCATTGCTTTGGCATTGCCTTTGCTAAAAAAAACCCCACACAATCTGCACTGGGGCACCTGCATGTCTAGAGCAAACACTTCAACAACAGTACTAGGTGACATATTAGTCAAATGCAGTGAACCACACTTATTTAGGGGCTGGGAATTGGGAGGCATGCAGGACAATGGTGAGGAGTTGTGAAGATGTTTAGGATCCTGAGAGATGTGTTTAGAGCTGCAGAAAAGGGCAATTCTGCTGACCGTTTTTGCAGGGAAAACCAAAAATTGATCTACTGCAGCATCAGTTCATAGAACCCCTGTCTGTTTAAATTAGAGACCCATAGAGAAAACCTGGAAAGGCATGACTCTGTCTGGGATATTTTAAACAGTTAAAACAGAAAGGTCAGCGAGTCCCAACTTGGAACTAGCAGAAAAACAAAACATTAATTGCATACACACTATGTGATTGCAACACTACTATATGAAACAAGCTGCTTTGATTTTTACCCATGGGAATAAGAGAGGACACTTTATAATAATCTTCTAGAAGCCCAGCTACTTTTGTTCAACGGTAATTAGCCATCTATCTTCTTCATAACATAAACACATGGCTATTGGCAATTGAAACTTCTTCTGGTGAACAGGGTGAAGACAGATTTGTAGGATTTTCTTAAACCTCAGTGCATGCTGATGAACTGCACATCTTGCCTGACTGTTACCTTTCCTCCTCTATTTTTTGCACTAAACTGTTTTTAGAATATCGTAGCAGTGGGAGCTGGGTTCTGCGACGGACTAGATTTTGGCGATAATACAAAGGCAGCAGTTATACGCTTGGGCCTTATGGAAATGGTGGCCTTTGCCAAGATGTTCTGCAGGGGACCGGTATCAATAGCCACTTTCCTGGAAAGCTGCGGCGTCGCTGATCTAATCACTACCTGCTACGGGGGACGCAACAGGAAAGTAGCAGAAGCCTTTGCTCGCACAGGAAAAGTAAGGAGGATTTTGAAATATTTTACACTAAGACATGAAGAAATCCTTCTGTGTTTTATAAAGGCATCATTAGCTGTTTACCTTCTTGATAACTGCTGGTATTGCAGCAGTATCCCCTCTGATCAAAGTAATCAGTCTCTTCTCTTCTAGTCCATTGAGGAACTGGAAAATGAGATGCTGAACGGACAAAAGTTGCAAGGTCCTCAGACCTCAGCCGAAGTCTACAAGATTCTGAAACAGAAAAATACGCTTGATAAGTAAGTGCTTTGATTTAAAAAAACAACTGCATCAACAAGAAAATATGAATGATTCATAACCTCCTTAACAGTACTTGTGTTTAATTATCTTGTTCGTTTCTGCAACAACTGCTTTCTACATCTTAGGCCCCCATTAAAGCTCAGCTTAGCCTGACTCCTCATTGCCATGGTCAGTAGAATAGAATGAAAGCTAAACAGCATTAGAAAAAACAAGCCACAGATGTATAGGAAACCAAAGAAATAATAATCCAAAGGATCTACCCAGACATCCCTGTCCCCCTGAGCAAGATTGAAGGCCATACACAGAGTCAGCTTGCAAACATGATCTACAGGTCAAAGGGTTTCTTGTTCTCAGTATATCGCTGTTACAGCTTGCAGCAATACTGCTCTCAGTGCAAACATTAACTAGGTTATCTCAGTATAAAATTTGGGAGCATAATCCTAATCAAAAATTTTTATACACTTTGAATAGATAGTATGTGCTGATATCAGTGTTTTAGTGCCACAAATAATGCTGAGATAAAAAGTACTTCTAATCGTTTGGGATGATGTAAGATTATTTATAATTTGAAACCTTTGTCTCAGCTTACACAATAGAAAGCTAAACTTCCCTCCATCCCATTCCCTCTCGCACATTAGCAGTACTGAGAGGTCAAACACTGCCAAATGAAAACTTTAAAAAAAAACCTGTTAGAATTATAACAGATACAGAAGATTCAAGCGGCATTATCTTTCAAAAATGAGAGAGAGAAGAGAAGCTCATTTTGACAGGACATGAACTTTAAATCAAAACTTGATCTAATAAGTATCATATAATTGCGCTTAGCTACACACTCAGCTCCAAGTCATTCAGTGAACTCATTTTTTACTAGGTAATGACTAAGACGGCTTGCAAAAGGGAAAGAACCCCTTAAGCCAGGAAAAGAAAATCATTTGAGATTTTCATTCTTTTTAGTCTTTTAGATATCAGTAATGAATGCAAATAATATATATATGCATTTTGCACACAGGAGGAAAAAGAGGATATGCAATTCAAGATTTTTTGTAAATAAAAAATACTGGATAGAATTTTGTCTCCAAAACAGCTCCTTTCTGCTGTCACTCCCAAGAATTGCCCCTAGCTCCTCTTAATTGCCCTATATAGTTTTCCAGTAAAGGCACCTCCAAGTTAAACTGTGTTGTAAAGAGAGAGAAAAATTTTCCACTTTCCTTTTAATGTAAAAAAAAAAGGTGGTGGGTTTTTTCCATTATAAATGGCATAGAAATGTTTATGTAAACTTTAAAAACTATTTTCATTGCTATGCACTTCTTTTAGGTTTCCATTATTTACAACCATCTACAAGATCTGCTACGAGGGTCAGCCGATCCAGGATTTCATCACGTGCCTGCAGAACCACCCAGAGCACATTTAGAGATCCCCTCTCCTCACCTGGTTGCGCCAGGACTTCTGTCCATTCCATGGCAAATAAAGTAGAGAAACAGGTTGTGTGACAACGCTTGCTGTAAAAGCAACAAAGAATGTATTTCAGCATCCTCATTCTGGGGGTAAAAAAAATCTGCCTTTAATTTCAAAATTATACCCAAGGAACAGGAAATGAATGTAAAATTTAACAGTATTTGATTTGAGTTAGTAGTGTGGGCATATCCCCAGCATTACTTTCTCGTTGGTTGAAAACATTTTCCCTTGTAATTTCCACAAGAGCTCGCTCTAGCTCACATGAACCTCAGTGTTTTGCCTGCTAATGTTACTTACAGAACAGCACAAGATGCAGAAAAATTGAACCCATGCAAACAGAAAAATTATAGTAAAAAAAAAAAGTCTGACAGCAGTAACATGCAATCACATGGGCAAATGTTGGGTTTCCATAGTTCCCCTCAAACACAAACAACATTTTGTATTTTGTGACATTTAGTCCTTCCTTGATTTCGTTTCCCAGTGTAAGCCTCTTTGGAAAAACAGGTATTGTTACTGTGCTCAGACACACATGAATGTTCAGCAGATATATAAATAAAACAGTTTAAGGGGCAGGGGGAAGGAGAAAGAAGGGTTTGGGGCGGGGGGGTGGGTTGTTTGTTTCAAATTCAGGACACTAGCAATCCTCAGTAGTAGTGTGACCTTCATTACACTTACTCCATTCCATTCAAACACAGAAAAAAAATTTGGAATAACCAAATACATTATGTTTGCATCAGGACTTCTCAGCAAATCATAGTTGTTAATTGGTAGTAGCTGAGAGAGGAGAACTGGAGGTTGACAGGGAGGATGTACGCAAGACTCAGCTTGCAGCTTGTGCAGTGCTGTTATTTTGAGAACGTAACAAATAACGGTGAAAAACGCTCTGTGATACTTGACTTTTTATACATGCATGAAAATGACCGCTATAGACGCACAGAAATCCTGTAAAATTGCATTTGAAACCAGGCTGCATTTTAACTCTGCTGGGAAACTCCACTGGACTGACACCAGTGCAGCTCCCCGCATCTTTCCAGACTGCAGACTAATGCCCTGATCCAGCTGTAGTTTAAGCAACGCATCTTACACTCCAGAAGAGAGATCTCTCTATCTACTTCTGAATTTTAAACACGAACTGGTTCATATACCAGGTTTTTTTATTTTGCTACCAATGGTGTTAATTTCAGAAGCATACAAGTTTTTAAACCTTATAGCTGTACTTGGGTAATTTTACATACCTGATGTTTTTCAGAGTTAAAGCCATCTATGAAATGAACAGTGGCACATTTTATAAGCTTTAATACCCTTTTGAAAGGCTCCTATTTTGAGACAAGGCAAACAAAAAGGAAGAGTAACCTACTTTTGCTTTGCTTTATCCGATTTTCCAAAATAGCAGAGAGGAGAGCAAGTGGGTTTTTTTAATCTCTCTATGTATTCGCTGACATATTGCTTAGGGGGAAAGAAAAAAAAAGCTAGATTATAAAATCATCTCCAGGCTGCATTTTAGAGGAACATTATTATGTCTTTCACATTTATCAGAGTAATATATATATATATGTGTGTGTGTCTATTGTAATTATAAATATATTGTAAAAATCTCAGCCTCACAGCTGGCAAAGCTGGCTCGGGTACCAGAAACAGTGGCTGCAGCGACCCTGATCCCTGCTGAACCGCAGCGGAGGTAGCTCACCGCCTCCACCCTCGAGTCCGGTCACAGGCAATGGCTGGGGGCTCCGTGGGGCAACGCCGGCATTCCTTCCACTGAAATGGGAATTGTGTGGCCAAATCCTTTACACAAAACAGGGAATTATCATCTTCCATTTTAATTGGAAAAAGACGTAAATATTGCATAATTTCTAAGTATCAAATACATGAGGATGGGATAGAGAATTCAGGAACCTCCTTACTTCACTGGCAGGCTGAACTGATAAGTCATGTATGAGTTAATAATACTATAGAACACTTTACATTCAAAGTGTATCAGATAACAGTTTAATAAAGTGATCAACACACAGACTTGATGTAATTTCATTTTTCAGAATTCTCACAAAATAAACTACTGGTGTAGTGGTGGTCCTTTATTGTGCTTATTCTTGCAGTTAGTTGTCAGCTCTCAAAGACAAGGACAAGAAGAGTCAATTTTCTATAGACATTTTATTGATGAACAATTTTTTCTTCTTCTGTATAACATACTTTTTGCACAGTAAAATAAGGAAATTTTTACTCCATAAATAACAAAAATTAGCCCTTATATCTCAATCCAGTCAAACTCTATGTAAAATAGTTTGTTCTATATTTACATTCCGTACCAAAATATGAAACACATGTTCAAGGTCGGCCAGTTCTCTCAAAACAGTTGTTTTATCTCCAAGGTAAGGTTCACATTAAAAAGGCAACATTCACACTTTGGAAGTCTGGTAGTGTAAGTTCACATTATTTAATATACAAATAGACCCAGATCCTGAAGAGCGACACATTCGGCCAAGCAAAAGCTCTTTGTTAAATCTTGCAGGGGAAAGACTCAACCTGCTCAGCTGGCTGAAAGTGACTCTGAGGAAATGCGGGAAAGAAAGGACATATGCCTCCTTCTCTACTGAAATATATTCAAGCAGAAAGATTTGCAGGACAGGAAGATTTAAAAACAACTTTCCCTTGTAAGGGATTGTGGATATGTCAGCTCTTAAATGACATCAGTCTTCCTAATTTACTAGTGCTCAGCAGAAAGAATGAGTTGCATTGGACTGACAGTCAATTAATGGGGGTCAAAATTCTCTTTTGGTAATTAACCTACATCCAAGGCCGTGACAGTCTCCCAAGACCTCAACTCATTTCAAGAGGAATGAATTCCCTACTTTTCAGTGTAATTTTACTTGCTGCATACTCCAGCCAAAAGCTATCCTTCCTCCTTGTAATTATTTGAAACACTAGAAAAATGTATTCCTGAAGTATGACTTGCCTCAACTTCTAACTGAAATGCTATAGACTTGAACTACCAGGGTAAAAAAAAGACTGCAAGACTAATTTACTTCCATAAGCAAACATGCTTAATTTAAAAAATTTTAAGCATTAATGTGGACATGATATACTGAAAATGTTTCTGCTACAGACAAGCTAACTCATTTATCTCTTTGCACTATTTCCGGGGCTCCTGCTGGTCTACTCTGGTGAAAACAAAGGCTTATTTGGGCTATATTTCAAAATTTTCACATGTAAGAGATGCAACAGGATGGACTTGCCACAATATGGTCAGGACACCTAAAGTAGCTGCCTGCAAACTTTGTACTTGTTTAAAACCAATACCAACTTTTACGCAGGAAACTACGCTTAAGGCTACATAACTGATTGGTTTAAGCTACAATTTTAGCTGTGTTGTACGCTCAGAAATGGCTTATGCTTCCTACTGTATTTATTTTGCTCTTAAAAACCTGAGACGTGTTTTTACTTAATTCATCTTAAGATTTGGAAGTTCACAGCAGGCTAGAAGCTAAAGTCAAAGACAAACAGAACTGAGGTAGTCAGTTTTACTCAAATATTCTTTTTGACAGTCACCAATTCATTCTCACTTTAAATTGAACTTGACACATTTCTTGGCCATTCCAATACAGCTACAGCTGCTAACACACTGACAGGATACAACATGTTGGATTTTGCCTACTAAAGTACCTTCCCCCCGGCAACTCCCCAAAGTCACGTCCAGTTCTGCAGTTCACAGCCAGTTGAAGGGCTGCACACCAAAGAAATTACGACTGAAATCTCAGATTATTAAGGCAGTAATAGTTTTACTTCACTGGATTCACTGATGCAGTTACTCAGCAGGTACCCGTGAATCTGACCACAAGAGCTCTGACAGGCAGACAGATTTTTCCCTGTAGGTACAATGCAATACAGCCTCTTTCTTTAATTAACGCATACAATTCAAAAGTAGGTAAGCATTGACTTTTTAAGCCATCTTTCAGTTAATTCTCAGGAAGAGAGAATAAAAGAAGAAAAGCCCTCAAGATAAACAACTGTGTAGAAGATAAAAATATTCACTTAAATATGACAAATATCACACACAGACAGCAGACTAGCATATCAAATACAAAGCACAATAAATTAACACCAGTAAAAAAGTTTGACAGTTATAAAGTTAACCAGAAAGTTCAGACAGTGCAAATATCTCACAGTAAGAAAGATTTCTTTTCAAGTATCAAAAGCATTGTTGTTGAGTGATACCATTTAAACTGTATTATTGCACAACAGACAAAATACAATATCAACCTCTGGGACCCAGGATGTATTTTCAAACCTTTATGTTTTCAAGGAATAAATTTACACCTACTGTTGACTGTGCATATATTAAAATAATCAGCGTTCACTTACTAATCTGAGTGTTTCTTAATTCAAACTTGTACACATTTCAAGCATTTGATTCCTAATTTGTATTGCTTCTCAGAAACACCTGTTTAAGGCTAGCCTAGGCCTTGTATAATTCAAAGCAAACTTAACCTGCAGTTAAGAAGGGGAACTAGCCCAGTGCAGGGTACTCTCTCAACTGTGATGCCTTCAGACAGTTTTAGGTTGCAGCTCATTTACCTCAGCAGTGTCATAAGAGTTTCTTTAAATTAAAACAAGTCCAGTAGGCACAAAGATTTTCTTACAATTACAATAGAAGTCCTATTATTAAACAAGTTTAATTGTAGCTAAATAAATTTTACTCCATATCCCTTCCATCCTCCTGCCTTTCATTTTAGCAAGGGATCTAGTCACTGACAATTCTAACATCACAGCACACTTAAGAAGCAGAGTAACGTCATCCTTCTCCCCATACTTGTATTTTTTTAGTGCACTGGGCACACCTGCTCCCTCAAGTTTAATACTTTTCCAGGAATGAAAACTATCCTAACAGGACAGACAATGGAATGGACCACATAAAAGTTTCTTTTACTCCAAAAAGGATTATTTGTAACACATTATATA